CCATTGTCCAGATGGCAAAGCCAGCACGCTGGCTGCCATCATAGTTGAAGTGGGTAAGCCAGCACGCTGGCTGCCATTGTCCCCTTACCAGCAGCCCAAATGCTCACGACGATGAGCTGGGCTGTCACCGCTTGGCCGCCGGTGGGGGGTTTGGGAGGCCGCATCGCGCACAAACACCCACACACTCCCTCAACTTCCACGAACACACACTTACGCAGACTCGTTTCCACACGGACATAGACACACGCACAGAAACCCACACACTACCTCAACTCACTCGACTTAACACTTCTCACTACACACTTACCGGGTAACTCGCACTCTGATTTCCTACGTGATGAAAAATGCTTTCGGGCCACTCGTCGTCTAGTTTGTTCCCATTTCCAGTGCCAAGCTTCATTCAGCTCAACATAAAAACAAGGTATCGCCGCCAATAGTGACCCTGGGCGATTCGCACATTGCCAAAGTGGACAGTACTCAAAAACTCCCAGTTTTTCATGTTTTCATTTGGGAGAGCTTGGATCATATGTGATTTCGTCCCATTTTTCACAAGGGTCAGCACTTGTAAGGTGGAATTTAGATTGGGGAATAGCAGAAAGTGCACGTTTTTTGGCGCACACGCGTTTTGCAAGTGTATCTTCTTTACACTTGCGGCCACGTTCGGGCCAACGCCTCAAGCAAATTTCCTCGGTTGTTCCACCGAAACTGAAAACTGCGGACATATTGTTCGACGCGTTTTGCGTCACGCTGTCCTAAACCTTTGCGTGACACAAGTGCAAGCGAACGTTAACATGCCCCACCCCACCCCACCCCACATCTACAACGAAGCATCAACTTCGTGACGCAACTGCAAGCGAACGTTAACATGCCCCACCCCACCCCACCCCACATCTACAACCAAGCATCAACTTCGTGATGCAAGTGCAAGCGAACGTTAACATGCCCCACCCCACCCCACCCCACATCTACAACGAAGCATCAACTTCGTGACGCAAGTGCCACCCCACCCCACCCCACCCCACATCTACAACGAAACATCAACTTCGTGACGCAAGTGCAAGCGAACGTTAACATGCCCCACCCCACCCCACCCCACCCCACCCCACCCCACATCAACGAGGAAGCATCAACCTGACAGCACCCTAAAATCGCAATTTCCTCTGGGGTCACTAACAGCGGCGATAGCAAAAACAACCATAAATAAATGTATGCATATACAATAATATATATATATATATTTATAACTATGTGATAAGTATGCGTTTCTCTTCCCACATTGCCACTCCATGTCAACTATGCTTTGGTGTTGCTGCGTTGCTGTTTTTTCCGATCCATCCTCATCCCCTGATGGGTGTTTTTTCCCATCAGGAACGTGACAGTAACTCGGAATGGCGCCGACGCGCTGTACACTCAGGCAATGCAGCAAATGCAAATGCACTTTTCAATCCCTAAAACGTGAATTAGGATTATTGTTTAGTCATGTCGGTCGGTCACTGTTTTCCGATTTTGCATCATTTTGAGGATGTCATTTAGCTCGCAGGCTGTGGGCATCGCTCAAGCTGAAGCTCAGCAGCGGCTGCTTGAAGTTGAAGCAAGTGCCATGCACAAGGCCAATCAGCCTTCTGGGCAGTGTGGGGGTTCCCTTTCCGAAGCTCACCCTAAGTTTTGCGCATCACGATCCCTTACTTGTACCTGAAACGCACATGCATTATAAGATCCAATGGCGTTCAACAACATTGAGCAGAATAGGAACCAACAAACGCATCCCTATTGGCATCAGCATCGTAATCGGCAAAGGAGCATGATGAGACTTTGTGGATGCTGCTTTACCAACCTGCTTCCTGCCAGGTCCAAGAGCAGCTGAAGCTGACTCCAGAACAGACGCCAAGCAAGTGAAGGGGAAGGGGTTCCTTCAGTAAACTACTGTTGGTGCTTGTGGTAACCTGAGTGGTTAATAGGCCTTACTCGCGACACTTGATGCGTTTAAACAATCAAAAGAGATCAAAAGAGGGACAGGGACACAGGCAGAAAATGAGGCAAGCGAGCACTCCAGAGATTCAGACTCGGCCCTTCGTTGCTGAGGATGGTCACATACCAGCAGTTCGTCGCCTATCACAGCTTGGACAATGCTTCATTTGTGTCACTTACTCAGTTTCCTTGATGTGTGCGAGAAACGTATGAAGGGACTGGACACCTCAAATTGAGTTGTTGATTTACTGTACAGGTTTTGCACAATAAGCCTGAGGTATGGTCTTGGCAGTGCACTCGTGACCCTTCCTGGAAGGGCTTAAACTCTAAGCCGGGCATATCGAGACAACTGCAAAATGAGGCCCCAAAAAGGCGTCCAAGTATTCAATTGGCTAGAAACAAAGAGGGAGAAGAGAGAGAGAGACACGAGGTTTGCTTGATCTCCGTTACATCAGCTGGCGAATGGTGAGACTCATAGCTTTTAGCCTCAAGCCCTTTGTAGGCTCTTAGGGTAATGGCGGGAGATTCTGGGAAGGTGAAGGCAGGAGGACTATTATATAACTTGATGTGCTTCAATGTTTCTCAAGCAGATTCTGCAGCAGGAGATTTTTCAACATTGGGATCGCGACGGAAGTGGAGACATATCTGTGGCAGAGTTGACCCGTGTGCTGAACAAGTTGACTCTTGGATCCCACATACTTTTAAGACTCCTTGGCTTAGTTACAAGTGACAAAGCCGCATAATGCCACTCACAGACCATTCTATTGGCGTGCCTACTTCCCAAACCGAATCAACCCATACACTTCAGGCCCAGTGCCATCAGTGGGGACCGGCCGGTTGGGTAGTGTTGGGTGGGGGTAAGAGGTATGGGCTTGTCAGCGGCACAGACTTGTGCCGCAAGATGCATTCTGATGTGTGCTGATGTTACCACTAAAACGCCAAGGAATCCACAATTTGACCAAGCAGCATGTCAGAAAATGTGGATACCTTAGCTTAGTTAGAGATGAGGCGTTCCTTCTGCTCGCATTGGCAATGCGACAGGCTGAAGGTAGAGATTCATGATCTTCAAGAGCGAATGCCTCAGGTTCAGCTGCATGGATGTCAACAGCGATGGCTCCATTCAGTACGACGAGTTCATCGACCCTCAGCACAACACAGCTTACGACTGCATAGCTCCTACTTTGGAGGGCATTTCAGTTTTATGTAAAACAAAAGTGGCTCTGCTTCAGCGAGCGTTTGTTTCCTAAGAACTGGCTTACCTCGAGTGACTCATACAAGGGAGCCAAGGCAGAGTCCGACTTGGAAACGACACTCGCAGGTCTGATGACTGATGACTCAGCTAGCGTCGTGTATTGCCGCTTCCCCACAGGCTGCAATCTTGATGGACGGGAAGGGAGCAGGTGGCAAAGCAGATGCAGCGCGCAAAGCTAAACTGAGGGCCAAGTACGCCAGGCCAGTTCTCCGTAGTGACACACCCCCGCCAAAAAAAAGAACATGACTGTATGTTTTAGGTTTTAGAGGAAGAACTTGAGAAAGCATGTGTATGTGCAATATATCCCGGGTGTGCTTAAACGGGGCACAGGCTTGAAGGTGCATGCATGGGGTTCCCATTCCTTGAAAACCTTCTATGTACAAGATATTCAGGTTGGACAAGAACGGCGATGGCAAGCAACTTGCCACAATAGAGAAATCGCAAAACTTTAGCGGTCAACAGCCCTTAAATTGTTCCAGCTCTCCACGAAGATGAGGCTTGACTTTGTGGAGGTATACGCACCTTGCCTTGAATATTTCTCACGCGTCCGATTCAGGGCCTGGATCCCGATCAGCGTTCTTCTAGGCCCCTAGGTGACCACACGCCGAATTCAGCTTTGATGGCAAGGACTTCCTGCAGAAGAGGTATCCTCAGATGACACTGCCTGACCTGCGGCCACTCGTTTCACCTCAAAGAAAGCTCAATCAATGGAAGACAGTTTCAGACAGAAACCTTGGCTCACACTGTCCATGCAGCTCAGGTTTCTTTATAATTGCTTGATGCTTATATCTTCATGCAGAATGTTCAACACAACATAGCCTCGACCTTGGGCTGCCTGGGTTGTCCTAAGGTGCTGACAAATCCCACGATGGCATTCTTGATTTCTATGAGCTCTTAGAGCCCTGGCGTCACACAAACAACAAGATCATCAAGCATGAGTGTTCCTTTGCATTTTGAGGCAAACCTTCCCGGCAAAGTGTGTGTGTGTGTATGTCGTGAGGACATGTTGATGAATGTGCCGTCGCAAAAGGCCGATCCTGGAGCAGCACCCCCCCAGCCAGGGGCAACACCCGTGACTTGTCCAGCTTCAAGGGTAGGGAAGTATCTCGACTTGGATGAGCGGCGAGCATATGGCAATATATTGGATTCTTTTGGAGGTCAAATGTTTTATCCTTACTTACAAGGTTGTCAGCTGCCCTGCTCCGACCAGACGCAAGGCACTGTACTCATTCTTGCTAGGAAATGCTGAAGTTGCTAAATTTTTAGCACCACGGCCAGGGATGACATCAAAGCTGCCCTCGAGAAGGAAGAGAGAGATCAGAAAGAATGGATGGAGACACTTGTTTTCAGTTAACTGGACGCCCATGCAATTCCTTTGTGCGTGATCTCAGCTTTCCTCAGCCGCGCTGGGTCACGGTGTTCATGGCCTGTTCCACAAAGATATGGTTCGTCCAGAAGTCTTCCAAGGAAGGTCAATGACATCACATCCAAGATGAAAGAGTTCAAAGATGATGAGCGAAGGCAGTCAAGTATGTCAAGTAAATAGGAATTGAAGAAAAAGTGTTCAACACCTTTGGCAATTGACAACTGTGCTGCTGCATGGTCGAAGTCGAAGATCTTCAAAACCCACTGAAGAAGCAACAAGTGTTTCCACATGTTTCCACTGTCCGAGGCACAAAGAATTCCGAGAAGCCCATGCAAAGGCAGGTGTCGCCCATGTCCATGCAACAACACTCCGACTCCAACCTTTTGCCGATCAACGTATTGATGAGGGCCGCAGCGGTCGGGAACTGTGCAGGTGATGCGAGAGCACTATGCCAAGACGGGTCAGCTTGCAATTTGAGCAGAGCCAAGTATATAATGCAAGCTCAGGCTTGTGCCACGAGTTGAAGTCGCCCCGAAGTTTGCCACAAGACCACTGCAAAACGTTTTGAGATGTTCAATGAGTCCCTCTTAAAGAGCAAGGCAGCAAGACGACGATAAAGAATGTCTCACCCGAGCTCTCCCCGTGAGCAAAGAAGCCACTTTTGGCGCTCTTCACTGTCTCAAAGAGAGAGTGTCGACAAAGGTAACGCCTGTGATGATTTCGTTTCAAGAGCATTCAGTGCAGCTACATTTTGAGTACTAATCAATCTATTTGCTACTCATGTGGTAGTGAGTTGTGAGCCGTGAGGCCCGGATTGGTTCAAGCTTGGTTGCTGTGCTCTAAAAAAATGGCGAACAAAAGGTGTGGCAAGAGCCCAAGGGAGGATGAAGCCAGTTAGAACTCATTAGCTCGATTGCTGTTCAAAACACCCTCACAAAGCGAAGCAGTTGCTTGAAGTCCCTAACAGCATTGGAACACATTTGCATAGATTTATGAACTTCCCAGCAGCATGAGGGGCCCGGTCACAGGCGAGTGTGAGAACATTGGATGACAGGTACCAACTAGAAACGTGAAGCAACGTATCCAAATTGGAAGGCATCGGCGCAACCTCTCAAGTGCCTCGACCAACAGCCGGGCTCTAAGAATTTCAGCTCCGTTTGGTGCTCTTTCTTCCTCTCCACCTGGATGACGGTCCCGTTTTGGAGCTTTGGCGAGGTCATGGAAGACTCGGAAGAAGGCTGCCTGTGCACCTGAATCACCTCTGAAGATTAAAACCTTGCGTTCTAATGTTGTTGACTTTGGGGCACAAAACGCCGTGTTTGGGTTTGGAATTCCACTCCGCTACCAGTTCCAGCTTCGGGGGCCCAAATGTCGACCACATCATGCTTTTACGCACCAAACACTACTAGCGAGGTTGCTAGTGATTAGACTTATTAGCAAATTCAGGTTGCATTAGGTCTTTAATTTGAATTTGTGCGGCTCCAAGTTTGTGGAGGCTACGAGGTGAGAACTCCGCGAAGTTTTGATGGGCAGGTGGATGTGGATCAGGACTTGTCGTTTGCACAAACAGCATACTGGTATTTGAAAATAACATTGAGTAAGATCTGAAGTTCCAGTAGTAAATAATTTCGCTGTGATGTTTGGAACTGATATGTTTGCAGGACCTCTACCCGCTTTGCATCGTTTGGACGCCAATCCATGGGTGCACCTGGTGTTTCCCCTTCGTAGGCCTGGGGCTGAGCATTGTTTCGTCAGTCCGTGACTGGACATGGAAGACTCAGACCTGTGCCAGTCCCATTCTATCCACCAAATGGCTTGGACAAGAAGAGCATTGAACGAAAAGTAGCTGGCAAACATGATCAAAGTTTAGTGGCGGTTGCTTTTGAGCCATTGCCCCGTTTGAGCCCATGAGCAGTTCAGGTCACATGGGCATTGGGACTGCAGACGGCCAGGCAATCTGCCAGCCTTTGGATGAGTGCAAGTGCAAGTTGCTTCATTGTTGAATTTTGCACCTTAGCTTGACCACCATCTGAAATTGCATACTAGGGCAGAAGAATCTAAGAATGCATTGGCTGCAGAAGGATGTGAAACGAGTGGCCAAAACACTCCCTTGAATTTTGATGTATTGACGTCTGTATTGCGTTTGCTTTGTTTGTTGCAGCTGGTTGAAGTCCGCGTTCTTTTCAACTCAGCCTCGGACGCACCCAACTTCCAACGCGGAGGACATGTACAGACGTGAGTATAGGTTTGTACAACCTTGCCAGGTGTCAAATATATGCTATACACTTCTTGTGCTACTGGTAACATCACCATCGATTACCCCTGTACCCTTTGAACATTGATGTCAGGTCATGGAATTCATGGGCTTCGGCGCAACAAAAGCGCCCCGAGGCGCATGAACTCACTAAATCACGAGACAGACTTGCACAAAAGGCTATTGTGTTGAATAAGTGTTGGATTAGCGCTTGATGAGCCATACCAGGTGGCCTTTCTTTTGGACCAGTTTGCCTGAGACTCATGTGTATTTCCAGGCTCTTGATTGAGTTGGCTAGTTGCTTGGTCAGTGTGTTTGAGGTCGGTATGTTCAGCTGAGCACTCGCAAGGTTAGAAAAGGGACGCCGGAAGCTTGTAAAGTGTTCTTCATGTGCACTCAAAACCGACAAGTCTAGTTGTCGTGTTTGTGTAGAAATGAACGACAAAAGCCATCGAAGACCTATTGCCGACTGTTTGCTAAACCTTCGAGGTGGGACGATGCAATTCACACAGCGACCATCAAGGAGTGCTTTTCTAATCGTGATTTCGCTACTGGCCCACTCTTTGATCCTCAGGTGGAAGGGCGTCCTCACGGTGGTTGCATTTCAAATTGCTTGGCTCCCACAACAGAGTCGTGGGGGTTCAAGTTGCATCTGAGCTAAACCTCACTCATTCGCCACGCTCAGGCCACTCTTTTGTGGCTGATTGTTTGCATGAGATGAGGTGCAGTGGCCGCTGCGACGGTGATTGAAAAACGACACATTGATTCAACTAGGACCTACCCTCAAAACAAAGTTTCTTGGTTAGGATGTCCGTTTTCCAGCTATACAGCAGCCAGAAGCTCCGTTTCCAAAGAACAGCACTTGTGTTATGCGGGTTCTTATGGCTCTTTTATGATGGACTGGAGTGGCCGAAAGACTCTGAAAATCGAAATGGATAGAACCGAAAGTGAGAGGTATGCTGGTGTGCCTTGCTGGAACTGGTTGCCGCATTCTGAACTTCAGCAGGGCGTTGTCGAGAGGCTTATGTCAACAGCCATTTTTGCCGGAGACAGGTCTTATGTCTTGGCTGTTTGGGTCTTTGTGTTTGCGCAGGGCTCAGGCTGCGGCTTCGGTTCACTAGACTTTGGAGTGGCCTCAAGTAACTTGTCTCCTGCTCCATCTTAGGGCCACTTTACAACCTGCCCTCGCACCGCAGCGGGTAGCCCAGCAATGCCGTGTAACTTACAAATTGCCACAAAACTTGGAACATGTGCAATTAGTTGCTTTGGCTCGGACAACGCTCCACAGACAACAGGGAAACTATTTTGCAGCATAGCAGCTCTTTAGCACACCGCTGACATTTCAAGAAACATCAATAAACCAAGACATGGGATTGGTAGCTTCAAGCCTCAAACAGTGAACTTCCTTTAGACAAGCAAAGCTTAACAACTTCCCATGGTATCTTTGATGGCTTTGGATGTGGATGGCATTGGGGGGGCATATTTGCACTGTCCGCGCCACAGATCATGTCGGCCGCTGCTTTTGTCATTGTCAGTTGCTGCCAAGGTCACTGCGAGAGAAGAATGGACCGTGCGAAATATCAAGGAAGCCATCGAGATGAAGAGTGGAATTCCAGCAGACGAGCAACGATTGGTCTCAGGCAGCTTCGTGCGGGTGTTTCAATCTGTTTCAGATTCGCGGCCTATGATGGCCTTGATTTTTAACTCATGCTGTTATGCTGTTCCAAGTTTGACTCATGCAGATGTGTATGTCAATGTATATATATATATATATGTGTGTGTGTGTCAACCCCTGTTCCTAAGGGTTCCTTTTTCCACAAATGCAGGGGCGTGCAGCATCTGTGGTCCACTGCACGCAACGAAGCTAAGACCACAGATGGGAAGGGATCAAGGACGCTTGATCCTGTACCTGCTATGTTTTCACAAGCTGTGACCCTAATTTTCCTTGGCTTGCTTCCATGGTAGTTCTGCATGATACCTCCCGTAAACCTTTTTCCGCGTTTCTTGCAGCTGAGTTGCGCTGACGTTCGACACTGCAGACATGTCAACAGATTGTTCAACAATTCCGGTTCGCCGACTCTTTCGCCTTGCGGTTCCATCATTCCTTTTGACCTGGGAATTGAGCCAACTGAAAACCAATGTCAGAGTGTGAACCGCTCAGCCGTCCCACTTGGGTGCTGGGTGTGATCCTCCGCCAGGAGGCGCTGCTTTCATACCGGAAATCGTTTTCCTGAATTATCGTCTTTTCATCGTGGATCACTGTCACTACTTCCATGCCAATACTGAATTAACAGGAACAAAGGGCCGCCGGGCTTTCACGGTGAACAACCATAGCCGCCGGGCTAAAAAACGGAATTCCACTTCAGGCCAGGCATGTTTCCCACACCCCCCCCCCCCCCCCCCCCCCCCCCCCCCCCCCCCCCCC